TGTGTGTGTGTGTGTGTGTGTGTGTGTGTGTGTGCCACTGTCCACCCATAGCTGAGCTCTGCTCTCCCAGCAGATGTCTGTATCAGATCAGGACCAGCATACCAAGCTCCATCATTACTGGGCACTATAGAATCTGTGCGGCCCTGGGAGGTGATGGTGGGTAACGAGGGGTGACGAGGGGTGATGGGGTGGGACACGTGGGTGTCAATAATACACGACTCAATGGTAGGGACCAGTAAAGCCAACACCAGGACGATTATTTGACGTGCTGCATTTCGTCGATGGGGCATGTGCGTGGGATCCATGAATACGTTTCTTTCAGCAATAAAACCAACGCAAGAAACAAAATGAACTTTTCCCCCTGAAAGGTTCCCCCCGAATGTGAGGCTGGCGGGGGCCGATCTCGGAATCACATTCACAGATCACACTGACAGGAATCAGGCCTCGCTCACGGATATACAACTAAACAGTGACTCAGTTTATCTGTCACTCCCATAAACGCCTCCCCCCCGTAATCCTCCAAGCCAGCCTTGCCTGCCGGAGTGGCTGACGTTTTCTGCCTATATTTTGTTCTGACCGAGGGCTGCAACCGCCCGCAGCCACAATACAATACCACTTTTTTTTGCTTTTTTTTAACAGCAGGCTGAATCAGAGAGGCTGGCCCATAGTATTGATTTGGTTTCTTTGGTCACAAATACTTTATAGCATAATAGGCTACAGCATCCAGCCCATTCCCATTAGGAAGCCTAAGAGCCTGGTTGCTACCCACAAATCACAGTGCTCCTGCCATATCAGGCGGGGGTGGGGCGCGGGGGGGGCACTAGCACCCATGGGGAACTCAGCTGAAACAACCAAATAAACACCACCTCCCAATTCCCCCTCCAAATAACTAATCATTCCATTAAATATTTAAAAGCTGATAGATTCTGACGCACAAGAGCCATTGTGTGGGTGATGTTGAATATCCTCCTGACAGGTTTGAAGTCAATGGTTGGATTTGTCACCCCTGGATAACAGTGGAGCTATCAGCACACTAGGCATCATATACCAATACGCTAACGATACTCTGGTGAGATGCTAGCAGCACACTAGCCATCAAGTACCAGTGCACTAACAGTACTTTGGAGAAATGTTAACAGCACGCTAGCCATCATGTACCAGCACTCTAATGGCACTCTGGTGAAATGTTAGCAGCACGCTAGCCATCGTGTACGAGAACACCAATAATACTCCCTCCTCTCTGGAAGCTCTGGGACTCCACCCTCCCACCCCGGTCGGCAAATTTTACCACACCAGAACCAAACCATCCACTTGACCCCCAACCCCAGTTTCATAAATCTTGCAGCTACCACCATCCCCCCCCTCACCCCCGGTCTCACAATACTCCCTCCCCCCCTGCTAGCACTATGCATGGCCAGTATCTAATTTTAACACTGTCCTGTCTTAATACCACAGTATTTATGGTATTTTAAAAAAGCAATGCTATGCTGGTATTTCCTGATAAAATTAGTCGAGCGGGAGGGAGGACCTGGGTATTTTCAAATGTAAATCCTGCAGTATACAGTATGCCCCCCCTGACTCTAACTTGGGCTGTATGGGCTGGGTAAAGAAAGCACCACATAGTTACGGTGTGGCCACTGAGGGAGACCTTGCTTATCATGGGGAAATGGCCTCCTCAATCCTCTCCCGCTCTGCTCCATTGTGAGACGCACCTTCGTGCATGACACCTGGAGCGGCCATCCCGAGGTGCCGACGCCGTGTACTCAGGGCAGTAATGGAGACCTGGATAGAGGGCCTTCGGAAGCAGCCACAGCCATTCTTTGCACGTGAAAGGCGGCACTCTGGCCCCGCTGAGGCCAGTTAAGACAGGGGTACAAATACATTTTTGCCAGTGTGACAGTTTCATGAAAACTCCAGGTTCTGTGTAAAACTCCATTTGCACATAGTGAATCTGAGTAACCTGAGCCATTATGATGCTGTCGTGCTGCACCATCAGGAAGATGCAGAAAGTCTGGATTCCTGACAGCAGAATGGCTGCCCAGAACGGCTCAACGCATTGCTACAGCACACCACAGCATATGGCACCATACCCACCCTCCAGTCAGAGCCACAGACTCATGCACAGCACTGGTGATACGTGAACTGCACATGGCGTCATCCGACCAATCAGAATCAAGAAGAACATTTGCATAACTAAAATAACACATTCATACAAAGCACACAATCTTAATAAACATTCTTCGAATTAATGTAAAAAAGTAATGCAGAAAATATACATATAACATAATAAACATATAACCACTGCAGTGTCCACTTCAGCAGCTGTACACTCTTAAAACATTCTTGAAAATAAACTAAATACCAGAAGATTAGCAAGCGTTTTTGTGTTTACATGCGTATGTGCATAAGTAACCATGTAGGGGGGATATTGTAATAAATTAGAATGCAAAGCAATTGAATCCAAACATAGCAAATGGAAGTGGTTTAACTTAAGGGGGCACACATCCACTCTGGCTTATAATCACCGCCTTCCATTAGCCGAGTCGTTTATCAGGCAGATGTGTCAGACTAATCTCACACCCCACTGTGGGCCAGCGCCCACCTCCACACATGCATTGCACATCCATTCGCTCAGCCACCCTTTCTGTGCCTGCTTGCCCGGTAGCATGTATATTCCCTCTGGTACTTTGGGTTTGATCTCCCCCACCCAGCAGTATCTCCTAAACAAATAAACACACAAGCAGAGTGAGACATGTGTGGCCTCAGACCTGCCTTAAGTGTTTGGGAAAAATGCAAAAGCGCAGTTCTGAATCATGGGAGGAGTGTGTGAGCCGTGTCCCGCTGGTACACATGTGCGACAGGCTAATCAGGGTCACACCAAAGTGCGGAGTATTGTGCACGGAGGGGGCCGCAGGTGAAGAAAATACTAAATGAATGTTATATTAGGGGCAGTGGCTGGTCACACGCTTCACAAAACAGGGCTGGGGGTAAACATCCGGCTACATGCATGGGTAAATAGGGGTGTGAGCAATGCAATGCGGAGTTTATGTGCACTGCTGAGTAACAGGGAGCGGCAGAAAGGCCACTGGCTGGTGTGCAGACGGACATGGGCCTCTTCCTGACCTTCTTTTGGAAGGAGCAGCCTCAGGGGCAGGCTTCAGCCCAGCACCTCCCAAAACCACAGATCGATGCCACCGCAACCAGAGAATCCCCAAAAAGTCCTGATGACTTTCATTTCCTCCTGATTTATCTTCATTTTACGCTGACAGGAGGAGACTGAGAGGCCATCTTACTTTGTGAAATGAGTCCCAGTTTCACAGGACAGGAGTTCTTCATCTCCGTGAAATGAGTGGCGGGGTGGGGGGTCTGCCTAGTCCCTGTAGACCCAGGTTCATGGGCACATGGGTGTAAAATGGACAATGCAGTATGCGTCTGGGCCACTCAGAGCCTGTAATCACCGTACAGGACAGGGCCTTATAATGAGCCTTTAATAATGATAAATAATATCCCAACTACCTGATGGGATGGGTTTTGATAACTTGGGAGGGGGGCTTATGGAGGTCAGACGTCTGATGTTTCTTCTGCTCTGTAATGCATTGGTAGCAGCTCTATCTCCACGCACACACACACACACACAAGCGGCCACACATCCTCCCCTCCCCTCCGCACACCAAGCCCTGCATGAGCGGGGGCTCGCGGCCACCGACCGCCGCCCAACTGCTTCATCCGTTATTCCTCCTCTCTCTTTCCTTCTTCAATGACCAATTTTTCAGGCTGCTGAATAATCATTTCTAGCAATTTGCATCACGTGGCCCTGCCTTCACGGCACATATAACGTCTGGGGAGCAAAGGAGAGTGAGGCGGGGGGGGCAAGGAGCAGCAGGGAAGGGTGTCTCCCCTTCCTCCATCATCTCATTAATGCCCCCCATCACCTGAGTCCAGTATCGGTTGCGGGAGTTTGTGTTACACTGCGGCACAGAGCACTGCTCAATTGGGACACAGGTGGCGCTGCATGGTGCCCCTGAGTGGCTTTGCAGCCAGGCCATTGCAGAGGGCAGGGTGACACTCCCTTAGAGGTACCACATTACACCCACTGCTGTTTTTAAGTTTACTATATGTTAAAAATAATATTGGGTAATATTTTGTGGTGTTTGCATTTGTGTGTATTTAGGTAGTTTATTTAAATTTAGTTCAAATGAAGGGCCTGAAAGACGTCAGCCGGACAATACATTTGGGGCTGGGGTGTCCACGGTGACGAACCGCGCGGTAACCTATAGCCACACATTTCGCTAAATGAGGGTACGACCGCTAATCGCGTTTTCAGCTGACAGAGTTTCATCAAATGAGTGAAAAGCGTGGGAAGAAGTGAGGGACAGTTAGACAATAGAAATAAATCATTACATGAGACGCGCAACTCACCACGGAGTTTTTCATTGTAGACTTCACCGTGAAGCCCTCCGTCTTCAGCTCGTTCCTCTCTCGGGCGCTCTTTAACCCTATCATTCTTGTGTTCACGGGCGGCCCGTAGTCGCCGAGACTCAGACCGCTGTAGACCTTGTCGTGTATGAGGCCGGCTAGCTCGGCTAGTGCGGCGACTCGCTCGTCGACATTCACGCACGGCTCGCCGGTTGCTAGGAGCCGAGACGCGTGCCGGTTGCTACTGAGACGTCTCCGTAGCTGTGGAAACGGCGTGGCGGCGGGACGTCCACCTCGCGGATACGTACGGTGCGTCACAGAGACGTCCAAGCTGAGATCGTATCGAAGACGTTGACTTTTTTGTATTTTAAAATGTAGTGATAATGTTGGAATTGTTTAGAAAGGGGTAGGGAGAAAAGTACCTCACGTCATTAATAATTACTGAAGAGGAGTAACCTAACACAAAAATAAAAAGTCAAAATAAGTGGAGAAAGAATGTATTGTGGGTTTGAGTATATGTTTGTAGCCTGTACATAGGATTGCGACCTCATCCTGGACAGGAAAGTAACCCAAAATCAGGGGTGGTCCCAGAAAATCCTGGATGGGTGGTAACCATACCTATACATTTCACCGACTTATCCATAAAAATACATCTAATGCAAATGATAAACCTTGCTAAATATTAGAACTATTATTATTATTAGAAATATTAGAAATTTAGAACTTGAATCATTAGATACATCAAAATTGTATTTTATTTGTATTTAATATCAAATTAAATACACAGTCTGGGTATCAAGATCAACTGATTTTTTCCATTGGTCAAATACCTCACTAGATCTATTAAAATGCTTAAAAATAACCTCATGTGCATGACTGTAACGTGTGTGAAACGGGCCGGTGTGAATCGTCAGCCTGCGCTTGTCTCAGACGCGCTGTTTGTCTCAGCCATGGGGTGAATGTCAGCAACTGTCTGGGGAAGCAGTGATGGTGGATCCACTGCTGCTCTGGAAGACATGCAGTACCGTGAGTGACATACACCCTTCATATGGATGGATGGACAGACAGACAGACAGAAATAGATAGATAGATAGATAGATAGATAGACTGATTGTTTGATTGATGCCAAAAGAAATTGCCATTTTACAATATCACCACAACACAAACATTTACAAACCTAAATACATTTAGACAGCGATAAACAGTAACAGTGCAAAGAAAAACCATCAATGTGGAGCTGTGCTTCTTCTTCCATTACGTTTGTCTAACTTGGGTCACCCAGCGCCATGCGACCTTTCCGTTCCCGAGGAGGATCAGATGTCCTCGGACATTCGTACCAGGGAGACCTGCTGCAACAGCAGCTTCTTCCTTTGTGACACTGTGTCTAAATACCGACGTTGAATGCCTAATCAGAGCGAAGTTGGCTGGCAGAGCTCCCACACGTCTCCATATTAAATTGTTCCACTTTAAGGATGTGGCACTTTTAATCTCTCTCGTTCTCTTAGCCCTGGGACTTTCTCCAGCATGCAGCTACTGTTATTAATCTTCACAGTGCAAGCAATTTCTCTAAAAGCCCCTATTTGCTTTTTATAGGTCCACTGAGGAGGGGCCAGGGGGCACAGATGAGGGGTTGTAAACAAGTCGGACCAGGAGAGCGAATTATGTTCCTGTCAACGTTCCTCACTGGTTGACCTCATATTGACGAAAATAGGGGATCCAGAACATTTTGGTAGATGAGTGAGAAACAGATCTTGTGCACTGTTGGTCTCTACACACGACTGAAAACAAATATGAAGGATTATCTTTCCCTGTCCTCTGATTCAGCTATCTGCTCCGTCTGTGGTCATATGGTCATCGTTTATTTCAAGGATGTTTGCAAATGCGTGGCATCTCAAAGAAGGAAAATAAGCTTTGTGAATGTATTTTTACTTTTTCCAAACAATATTAAGAGATATATTTTATATTTTGGTTTGTTTTCTCATGCACACAGACAAATACATACAGAAAGATAGACAGACACACACACACATGCACGCAAACACATGCACGCGCACACACACACACACACACACACTTCCCAAGCCACAGTCCCTCTGATTAATAGCCCGCATCTTTGCTCACATTGAGCCAATCATCTCTCCTTCTCTTTCATCTCCTGCTCATTAGGTGCGCCAGCCCTAGCCTGACATTTCAGCCCATGTGGCAAATAGCAATCATTTAAAATAAAATGTGCGTCTTCAAGCCTGCAGGAATCCCGCTAAAACACAGCAAAAGGCAAAGATCTCATTGTATTTCTATACGCTGTTTAGAATTAGAAACTTTGTCACCGTTACTCAAATGTGTAAAGTGCTGCTGATCCAGATCCAATACTGGCTGCACCTCAGAGACATTACTGTTTATGTAGCCAAATAAAAATGTGCTCAAATGTTATTAAGAAGTAAGTCATTGGAGGAGGGAAACAACTTTCCAAATTCCCCACTTAAGTCTTTAGTGCAGAGCCAGAAATGGGCTCCCAGCTGAGTTTGGGGCACCGTTTCTAAGTCACTACGCACTTATTTACTAGCCACTTCTTCAACATTTAGTGCACTTTTAGCTAGAAATAAATAGTGCTAAAGATCATTTGTTTTATGGATGGTAACTGAACAAGATGCAAATCAATGAAATGATGATTTTACTTTTCATTATGTCACGTTCTCCTTACGACACTCACTGAAAAGCAGTGCCTCTTCTGCATTGCATTTCCACACGGTTTCTGCATGTTGTGCACTGTAAAACATTTACATTTAACATTTTTATTTATATTTAACATTTACATACATTTAAGTTTAATATTTACATATAAACATATTATTTATATTTACAAATAGTAAGTAATTTTTCAAATAATATACATAGCAAAAACAGAAAATGTAATAAAAGTGCACTATATGTTTAAAAAGTGGCAAGTAAAAACATGCACAGTGACTTTTCAAACGACGCCCCATATCTAAGAGTCTGTCTGGCTGCATCGAACGACCCGCTTCTGTGTTGGATGTAACAGGCTCCCAAGGCTGCTCTGACAAGTTGTTGCAAAGCATCGATTTCTAAGGTGCACTGTGGTCCTGCAGCCGGCCGAAGTCATTACTGCGAGTCAGTGCTGTGCCCCCGAGAGGTACAAGCGGAAATGTGGACACACGCACAGCCCACCCTCACACAACCCATGGATCCAGAGCATGGCTATTGTACCACCTCGAGGCATCCTGGGAAATTCAGCCTGGACTCTTAAACCACGAAACCACTGGGGTGTTTGTGCCTGATACGGACAGACAGGCAGTAGTTCAGTCCTGAAAGCCACAAGGTATCGATCGTCATGGATTCCGCAGTGGGCTCTGTCTCTAGGTCATGTGAATAGAGTCCATGTGTGAGGGAATCTGTTTTGCATTTCCGCAAGAGTGTAACATTACATATTCCCTGATGTGTTTTGTGACTCCAATTACCATTTTAAAGATGTGAAAGAGATACAGAAATGAGTTTTTGTTGAATTCTGCATTTCTAGCACACTCGTTCTGTTTAAATGAAACTCATTGGAACATTAAATCCATTAAACTCCCATGCTCCACGCTGTAAGTTAAACCGATACAGGCCATGAGGGACATGCGCTTCCCGAGTGCAGAGTGACCGACAGCCTGGCCCTGCACAGACTCAGCACTTCACTCTTTCACGTAAGCAGCTGTCATTCACTCTCACTGCTTTTCCTGAGCTGTGACCGCTGTGACCTTGCAGACCTCCTCACTCTTCTCCCACGATGGCTCTGCACTCTGTTCCGCAGGTGAATTGCACGCTGACAATTGAGCACATGTCCTTGCACATTCTGGTAGAAATCCCAGCTGAGGACTTGAGGTCTTTTCATCCATTTTCTGCACGCAAATGCGGGTCCCAACAGGGTCAGCAGCCTCTCGTTGGACATCAGCAGTCGCGTCTCAGGTGACAGAGCAGGGAGATTCCCTTAGCTCTGATAGATCAGTGACAGTCACATCAGCAGCATCGGCAGATCAGGCTGATCATCATTTGGTTCTGCTGAAAAGGCCGCCGTTGGCAGCTAGTGGGTCATGGGTGCCACTCTGCCATCACGCCTGAACACCATGTCGACGGCCTGGTGCCCACCTCACCTGCTCTTCTGAAGACGACCCCGTGCTGCTAATTGCTAATCACTGAGACTGTAGCAGCGGATTGGCACACACCCGCGGCGGTGGCGGGGGGAGCAGATGGTGTTTAAGTAAAAATATTATTACCAGCTCCCTGTGCAGGCGGGGGACCGGGCCCAGTCGCCCAGGTGAGCCCACGTCTCCATAATGGAATCAAAAAATGGAATCCGCTACACAAATTGGACGCGCTTCCTGCTGTTTTCTGCTGCTTTCTGCTGCTCCTGTCACCTCCCCCCCTGCTGCTCTGCTGCTCCCTCCCATCCTGCTCCTCTGCTGCTCCCTCCCAGTACTGTCCGCTTTAGCCATCCTAGTCTATAATGGGCAAGTGGCATAGATAGGGCACCGATTGAGGCTCTGGAGGCAAATAAGGGGCCATTATTCGCTTACAGGGTAAACACCAGGTCCACTAGCATAGTGGCAATTCCCCAGGCATGGCTGCTGGCCAGTCATGTGATCTAGTTAATGTGGAATGAAAAACGACGACAGAAAGGCCCTGTCAAAATATTTTTGTTGCTAATAAGGAAGCTGGGAATAAGTGAGCAAAGTCCATCAAGGACAGAAGTATGTGAAGCACCAGGCGTCTGTCTGGGGTGGGATGCAGATAGACCCCGTACAGTGGGATGGCCAGAAGAGACCAATGGGTGGGGGAATGGGAGGGGGTCAATCAGTATATTTGGTGAGGCATGGCAGCTGGTCACTCCATTAGATCCGGCCCTGTCTTGGGGGGTGTCACCCACGGTGGACTCCAACACTCTATTGACTCTGCTAAACAGCCTCCGCTCCATCGCTTTAAAAAAATTTGAGGTAATTTCAATTTTTGAACACGTTCTGAGCCCAATTCGGCTGCAGTCTGTTTTATTTGAAAGCTGAGGATCTCAAAACACACATCTTGCTAAGAAACACTCCTACTGCAGCTGTGCAATGGCAGACAGCAGCCATCTTCTCCCCTTAAAAAAGCGCCTTTTTAGTCAGCGCGATTATCAGGGGCCAACTATCAGTCATCCCCCATAATGCCTCAGTGTTCCATTACAAGAGAGTGGGAAGGTGTCTCTGTGAGTGCAGGCAGGATTCACGCTCTTGTTACACTTGTTGTTTCAC